TGGATGGGTGGATGGGTGGATGGGTGGATGGATGGATGGATGGATGGATGGATGGGTGGATGGGTGGACGGACAATAGTGTGAGTGTATTTTATACCACTAAGCTGTACACTTAAAAATGGTTAAGATGATAAATTTTATGTTATGTATGTTTTATACCAGGATAAAAAAAAAGTTGGGTGGAAGACAAAATTGTCAAGCTTTTAGAAAATAATCCAGAAGACCATATTTCTTTGGTTTGGTTGGGAAGGTTTTGTGAAATAGGACCAGGAAGTGCTACCTGTGAAGAAAAATACTGATGACTCCGACTCATTAAAGTTATGAACTTCTGCGTGCCACGTGTTGGTTTCTGAGAGGTGACGCCATGTTGCTGATTTCTCTTGCACAGGGTCTTGTGAGATGTCTGTTCTGAGTCCTTGTATGTTGAAAATGCCTTTTCTTCATTATCACCCTTTTTTTAAAAAAAAGATTTTATTTATTTATTTGACAGAGAGATAGAGAGAGAGGGAACACAAACAGGGGGAGCAGGGAGCCCGATGCGGGGCTCGATCCCAGGACCCTAGGATCATAACCTGAGCCAAAGGCAGACGCTTAACGACTGAGCCACCCAGGCGCCCCTCATTATCACTCTGAAATGATAGTTTACTTGGCTGTGGGATTCAGCATTCAAGTTCTGTGCCCTCGGCACTGCAGAGGGGCCCTGCCGGAGTCTCCAGACTCCAGTGTCTGTTCACCCCGGTGTGGGCACATGGTCATGTCTTCCTGGCAGCTCCGAGTTTTTCTCTACCTCGATGCCCTCAGATCTCACCCCCAAGTATTTCTGAATGGATGTACCTCTTTACCTTCCTTGGCACTCGCCGAGTACTTCTGGGCAAGAGCTCATGCCTTCAGTTCTGAGAGGTCATTGTTCTGCCATGTGGATCCAAATATTGCCCTGAGGCCACGGCCCCCCCACTCACCACGGGCGCATCCCCCAAAACCTCCCTTCGTTCAGGATGTCTGTTGGGTTTACAGATCATTCACTTTCTTGTTTTCCGCTCTTCTATTTTAAAATTTCCTTCTATCTTTGTCGTGGTGAATTTTGTGCCTGTGGGGGAAGACACTTTTCCATCTGGAAACCAGAAATCCCTTTTTAAAAATACTTGAAGTTTAGTAACTGTTTTGTTTTTATGCACTGTGTTGGTTTTTATAGTTACCTTCTCCAGGGCAACGGGGGACCCTCTGACTGATAGTGTGGACTCTAGAGCCAGATGGCTGTACTGAGCCTGGCTTTACATCATGGTGTGCCTCAGTTTCCCCATCTGTAAAGTGAGAGGAAATCATGGCACACATTACATAGGGTGTTGTCAGGGTTGAATGAGAGCATCCCCTGGCACACAGCAGGTGGTATATGCGAGCCCTAGTGCACGGCACGTGACACCCATATTCCTGGTGCCTTAGGAACATGTTTAAATTTGGCGAGAGGTACATGCGTTTAAGGAAGGAATTGTGCCAGGGAATGACAGGGAGGGGCTTGGGGAAGGCAGTTGTTTTGCACCTGGGTTCACAAAGACTCAGCTGGGGACATGGCCACAGCCCCCAGGAAATCAGACTGTGAGGCTCTGGGTCAGCTTTCCAAAGGCGGCCCCGGGAGGGCCAGCTTCATTTGCAGGCATATACCTCGCCAGCCCGGCAGCCATCCCCGTCCGGCCCGGCCGGGTCCCAGGGTGGCCTACCCTGCCCAGACCTTGTGACGTGGGTAGGAAGGGACAGCAGTGGCCTGAAGAGAGCCCAGGCCCTCCTCACTGAGTCCCTGCAGCAGCCCCCCCCTGGGAACCACACTGAGGGCAGAGGCAGGTCATGCGACTCGGGAGGGGAGAAGACCCTCTCACACACCCCGCCACCAGCAGCTTCCTTCAAGCATTGTCTTTGCCTCCCCAGGTGGCAGCCCCACCAGAAGTCACCCCTGCCCCTTGGGCCATGTCTCCTCCTTCCTGCCCAGTTGAGCCAGGGTGCCTTCTGCATCTGGGGGCTGTGCATATGGTTCTGGTTGGCACGTCTCCTGTCTGCCACACCCCACACCTGCTCCCCAGCTCTTCCACGACCCACCACGTGCTCGTAGAGCTCTCTGGCAAGAAATACCCGCCCTTGGGGGAGATGAGAAAAGAAGGCCAATCCTAGAGCAAGCTGAGGTGGGACAAACGCCCTGGAGAAAATTCCCTGAGCTGTGGCAGGCAGGGAGCGGGGACTGCAGCAGCTGGCAGCCCCCCTGGGGCCCGAGCGGCACTGGGCACCCCTGCTTCTGTGTGCCCCCAGCCCACGAGGCCGCTGCTTCCTGCACTGACACACCTGGGCCACAGCCATGCCTCCCGCGGGGTTCCCAAACATTCCACCTCAGTGAACCGGCTTCCTTATAAATCCCCCGGGTTGGAAATAATGGAGAGTGTCATTTCTGAGCCCCTGGCTCATCCCTGGCCCCAGCCAGTGCCCCACAGCCTGAGACTGACCCTGAGGGCCTCCAGACCCCTCCTCCCAGGGGGGAGGGGCAGCATCAGCCCTGGGGGTGCTATGCAACCTGGCGGAGGAGAAGCCCAGGGGACTCAGTGGGCAGAAAAGACACCAGGACCAAGAAGTGTACACAATGCTCAGTGTTTATTTGCAAGATGGGGGCAGGGTGGGCAGAGGAAGTGCTGGGGAGCACTGACCCCTCCCTGGCCCACCTGCCAGTGGCCGTGGTCACCCCAGGCCTAGGTTCACACGTGGGCGGGCAGCCACCCTGCCTGACACCACTCCCCGGAGGCAGCTGGTGGCCACTGGACAGGCCCCAGCCCACGTTCCACTGCAGGAGGTGGCCAGCAGGAACCTGCTCCATGGGGCTTGGGGAGCAGTGGGGGGCACACAGGCCCACAGTGGGGGACAGCACGGCAGCTCCGGGGCAGTTTGCTATGGGGCATCCCTCTGACACGAAGAAGGGGGTGAGTCCGGGCAGCGCAGGCACTTGTCTCAGATGAGGGCCACGCCCGACGGCCAGGCAAGTGGCCAAGATGTGCTGGAGGGGCTCTGAGGGCAAGGCCCCCTCCCGGAGCCCTCCTCAAGCATGTCCTCACTGCGCCGTCGCCCTCCAGGGTGACCCCCAAGGCACAGGTCCCACGAGGACCCAGGCTGCAGGTGTGCCTGGGCTCCTGCAGCAGGCTGGCCGAGCTTTCTGTGGTTGGGTGGTGTGTGTCCTGGCTCCAGATTGGGGTGGGGGGCCTGGCGGGAGGGGGTCAGAATGGCAACAGACAGTGGTGGGGCCCTAGGTCAGGAAGATGGGGGTGCTGTCCTCAGGAGCCTCGGGCGAGCGGGCGCAGGATGAGGTACACCTGCACTTGTCCACGTGGGTGTAGGTGCGCTGGATGGCGGTCCCGTCAGGACACTGCATGGTCACCACCTCCTCATGAACCTCTGCGTCCTGGCAGCAGGTACACTGGTGCTCCATAGCCTGGGCCTCCATGGAGTACCTGCAGACGCAGGGCTGCCCTCAGGACCCACCTGGTCCAGCCCCAGCCCCCGAGCTCCTGGTGTCTCTGGGGTTTGGAGCCAATGGCTCCCACCCACTCCCAACAGCCCGGGGCTCATCCTCCGAGCACTAGGGGCTTCTCTGACCTGGCCTGGGACAGTGCTCAGGGTCACTGAACTCTGACCTTCCTGTGCCAGGCCCCCTCTTGTCTTGGAACCAGCTCACAGAACTTGCTGACCCGGCCGGACCCTCCCCCCGGGGGAACCTTCCCTGGGTCTTGAGCCAGCCCCGCACCAGTCCTTCTGCTCTTTGAGCGCACTGCTCACACCTGGCGAAGCCAGGGCAGTGTGGGGTGGGGAGGGGCCTCTCGGGAGGGGCAGGGCTCGCTCACTTGGACACTCCGGGGCATAAGCCCCCACAGAACGTGAGGTTGACCGGGGCCCGGGTGGCACAGTCCTGGTGTGTCAGGATGGTTCTGTTGACGTGGACTTGGCACTTGTCTGGGCAGACGGAGGAAAGACGGTGGAGGTGTGGGAAGGGACCTCTGAGGACCCCGACCTGGGGCCGCTCCCCGCACGCCACCCTCCCAAGCCCTGCGCTCAGGGTGGGGTCCTGGGGCCAAGGGCAGCTTGGGGCAGAAATCAACGGATGGAGACTGGGCGGAGGTGGAGGGTGGGTAGGCGGGCCTTGACTTACCCACTTCCTCACAGGAGTAACAGCAGCCGGTTTTCCTGAGGATGCCCTGAAGGGGGAGGGGGAGACAGAGGGCAAGCTAGGGGCGGGGTGGGGCGGGGTGGGGCGGGGCCTCCAGGGCAGTGGGGTGCAGGGCCTCCGAGGCGGTGGGGGTCCCGGCCGAGAATCTGGGGTGTGTCGGGTCGGGCCTCTGCTGTGGGGCAGCCCGAGCCCCAGGACACACCTGGCAGCTGGACACGTCCGGGCAGGGCGTGGGCCTCAGAGTGAGCACGTGGAGCCCGTTCTTGACCTCACAGCGGTACTCCGTGCAGTTGTCCACGAGGTTGTTGACCCAGGTCTTGTTGGGCTGAAATGCAACGGGGAAGGTGGAGGCTCGCGGGGAATTATCTGGTGAGCTGAGAGGGGCCGAAAGGAAGGGTCTCCCGGCTGGGGGGCTGAGACCAAACCCCCTCGTACCTGGACCAGCCAGCCGTCCTCCGTGGGACAAGCTGTCTGCACGCACTCCCCACAGCATTGTCCGGCCACCTTCCAGTACTCGTAGCCCTGAGGGACAGGGGTGGTTCCATGGCTACCCCCAGCCCTGCTCCCCAGCCCTCCTGCCCTCCCATCCACACCCTCAGGGCCCAGCGACCTCCTTGGCAACCCGGCCCCTGTGAAGCCATCCCTGCCCAGGGCTGGGTGTGCCCAGGAGGGCTTACCTGGCGGCAGGTAGTGTTACAGGTGTCCTCCTCACACTGCACGATTGGGCCCTGGGGGTCCCCAGACAGGCAGGTGCACGTGTGGCAGGGAGTGACGGATGGGAAGGTTGCACCGACCTGCAGTGGACGGGGTAAGTGGAGGTGACATTGAGGACAGTGGCGGAGGCCCCAGGGCCAGGACCCCTCCCTGCAGCTGGCTGGGCTGGGAGAAGGGGAGACCTACAGAGAGCGGGTTCTTTCTTCTTCAAATGGAATTATGCTTGTGCCCCTGGCTAAGCACAGACCAGGGCAGAGGCAGGACCCCAGGCCGGCTGGAGGGGCTGGGAGGGCACGGTCCCACCCCAACACTCTTGCCATGAGGAAGCTCCTGGGACACCCCAAGCCAGCAACTCCCCCGGGCGTTCGACAGAGAGGGCCGCCCCCTTGTCCCCCTCGCCCGTGTCCCCACATGGCTCTAAAGGGACCGGAGACCCCACACTTATCCCCTGTCCCGCAGGAGGGTGCAGGCAGGGCCAGGCATGTGCAGATGAGGGGTGGAGGTCCCATGTGGATGAGCGGAGCTTGGGGCCCCACCCGCTGCTATTCATCCCACTCAGCCGCCCAGCGGCTGAGCCCTTACCCCATAGGCGGTGTGATTGTGGTAACACAGCCGAGGTCCTGGAAGGAAAGAGGGGCTGAGCACCTGCCCGGCTGGTGGGGAGGAAGGGCTCCGACACTCCCCCACCCCCGAGCCCCCAGCCCCACTCACGGCAGATGAAGTTGGGGCAGCAATCACCCTCCTCCTGGGTGCGGATCAGCTCCTCTCCCAGCTCACATTTGGGTGGGCTCTGGGGGCAGGTGGTTGTGTTGCAGACTGTGGGAGAGTCGGGGTGCCATCAGCGGGCCCCTCACTGTACCAGGGCACACCAGAGGTTGGCAGCCTCATTTTCCCACCACACTGGTCCGGCCTCAGCCAGTCCTCGGCCCCGCAGCGCCCCCCACCCCGTCACCCTCCGGCCGGTGGGGCACAGGGCTCACCGCACAGCATCTGCAGACAGCATGAGTTGTTGGCCAGAGGCCTGGTCTCAGCCACAAAGCCCGCCCGGTAGCACTGCGGGGGCCGCTCCGGGGCCTCGCACTGCACGGGGGCGCACTGCACTGACATGGAGCCCTCATGGCACTCACAGTCCTGGCAGTTGCTGACCCACCGCTCCCCAGGCTGGAACAGAGCAGGTAGGGTCCCTGGAGACTCCTGGACAGGGCCCTGGCCTCTTGGGCTGCCTCCAGCAGCAGGGAAGGCCCCCCCTCCGTTTGGCCAGCTCAGCCCTCGGACTCCCGCTCAAGCTGCCATCTCTGGAGCACCCATGGGACAGGGGTGTGTCTCACACCGGGGTGCCCCATGCCAGCACCCCGCAGGGGCTGCCCAGGCAGAGCAGGCTGCCCTGAGATGGGGCCCTCCCTCCCTCTGCTCAAGCCAGGGGGGCAGGTAGCTGGGGGGCAGAACACTCACGGATTTGGGAAACCCATCTGGTCCCACACAGGCTGGAAGGGAAGAAGAAAGGGGGTTCAGTTGGCGTGCGGGGTCCCAGACCCAGTGGGCAGAGACCACAGGCCCTAGGACATGACCTTGCAGGCCTGGCCACCCCACCCCCAGCCGGGGCTCTTCTTCCTGCTGGGGACAGAAGCCCCCGGAGGACTCGGTGTCATGGCCACACTGCACCTTCAGGGTGGGCAGTGGGCTAGGAGAGCACCCGGGAGGGATGGTCCCCCGCTAGGGTTTTCCCACCCCAGGCCCTTGGCCTCCGGCTCTGCAGCAGCTCCGGGATCAGGGCCACTGGGGCGTGCTCACCGCACTCGCGCACGCAGACATTCGTGTGTGTGTTGAAGAGGGTGTGTCCGTCGGGGCAGAAGCAGCCTTCTACCAGCCCCCTGCCCACTCTGCTCTGGCTCCTGCAAGGCAAGGAGGGCATTCCTGGGACCCTCGAGCCATGGAAGTGGCAGTCCGGGGGCGGGAAGGGCAGAGGGCATGGCAGAGAGCTGTGTTGACCAGCCGCCCAGGGCCTGGAGTCGGGGGTCAGAGGTCGGGGTGCAGGGAAGGAAGCCCCAGGGACCTGAGGCTTGGGGGGGCAGTCGCAGACCCTCCTGGCCCGCCGCACACCCTTCAGGCAGGCTTTACCTGGAGTCGCAGGTCGTGGGCTGTGCAGGGCCACAGGGCTGGTACACCTTGTCGGGGGGGCAGGTGAAGTCTGGGGTCACAGAGACAGGAGTCAGGTGGGCCAAGGGGGCCGGAGCACCCGGGGCCGCCCTGACTCACCGCACAGCCCGCTGGTGGCGTTCCGCCAGTTGCTGCAGGCGCCCCGGGCGCGGCAGAGCGCCGCGTAGGCCTCCAGGCTCTGGCAGGGCGCCCCGGGGCGGTCGGCCTGGCAGCTGTCACTGATGCAGGAGCTGACGAACGGGTCGGGTGGGATGAGGGCGTGGCACTCTGCGAAGAGCCTGCGGGAAGGGGCGGTCAGAGGCCGGGGCGGGGAGCAGCCCGCCGCCCCACAACCGCCAGACCCACAGGAGCGACTCACGGGCTCCGCAGCAGTTCGCAGAGGGGTGCGGGGGGGCACGGGGAGGAGGCGGGCGTGCTGGGTGCTGAGGGCACGGGGCCAGCCGTCGGGGGTGGGCGGGTAGGTGTCCAGCAGGCCTCCCGGCCTCTCTCGGGGACCAGCCAGCGGTGGGCCATGTCTTGGCAGGTGGGGGCCATGGTGCCGTCGGGCTGGCGGCAGTCGTCCGTCTGGCTGTTGGTGCAGGTGCCTGGGGCGGTGGGGCAGCAGGGTCAAGCTCTCCCCCCTCCCCTCTCCCCACCTGTGCTGAGCAGCTGTGGCCGGGGCGCCCCTGGCCCCCACGCACCGCACTGGCCCTCGGTGTTGTGGCTGAAGCGGTTGTAGGACAGCTGGATGTGGAAGATGTGCCCGTTGAAGGTGATGTTCACACCAATGGCAGGGATGTCGATGCTCATCGTGGTCGTCCCTGTCACCGACACACTCACGCCATTCTTGCTGAAGCCCAAGCTCACTGGGATTTGGTCGAACAGGATCTGGGGATGTGTCGGGGGGATCCATGACTGGGTGTTGGGGCAGCAGGGCCTGCCTTCAGGGCTTGGCCTCACACCCCAAAGTGCAGATGCTCCCCTTAGGACCTGGGGTCCCCGTCGGCCATGCTCGGGTCCCTGCCCCAGGCGCCTCTGGGAGCTGACCTCCGGGCCCGTGGGCCTTCCCTGGTGATGCCGGGACAGGGCCACTCACCAGGCTCTGCTCCTGCCCGCGTGTGCCGGTGCTGGTGGTGAGGATGACCTCCATGGACTTGTAGTGGAGGCTGAGGGCACGGGGACAGTGGGCGGAGGCCGTGGTGGCCCTGGTGGGCCCGCAGTAGTAGTTGTCCATGTAGATGCTGAGGTTCCCGTAGCGTGGGCGGATCTCCTTCATGAGCACGTGGGTGCAGTTGTCCCGAAAGGAGTAGGAAGTGCCGTCGAAGGTGGTGTAGTACGAGTCCCCCCAGCCACTGCAGGAGCCTGCGGGGCATGGACGGTCCCCTCACCCAGCGCCACCCCAAAATGGCCACCTCAGGGGAGCCCCCCTGGGCCCCAGTTGGCCCCAGCTGCTTTTTTTTATAAAAGGGGTGGAGTGGGTTGCATGGTGGCCCCAAAGTGTGTCCCCATGTCCAACCAGACCCTGAGAATGTGCCCTCAACTGGGAAAAGATCTTCGTGTCTGTGATTAAGGACCCTGAGATGACACCAGCCAGGATCACCCAGGTGGCCCTAACCCAGTGACAAGTGTCCTTGCAGGAGAGAGAGGAGCGGCCACGGGAAGAGGCCGTGGCTAGAGGCTCGCAGCCACAAGTCCCGGACGCCTGGAGCCCCCAAAGCTGAGAAGGCAGGAAGGGCCCTCCCTGCAGCCCCCAGAGAGAGTCAGTCATTGCTGATGTTTTGACCCCCGTGTGTGGCGCTCGCTTCCTCCTGGAACCTGACACCCATACCATCCAGGGGCCAGGCTAGAAGCGCTCCCCGCAGGAAGCTCCAGGAGGGACGCTCAGGAATCCCTGGGATAACAGCCCCCTGAGCCGGGGCCCCTTCCAGCCACAGAGGCTGCCGTGCGGGTGGGCTCAGCAAACCTGGGCCTTCCCCCTGCTGTGGAGGCGCGTCACCCTCTCTGGCTGGCACCGTGTGCCGCGGCCCTGGCTCCCTGCGTGCCCCCCCCACCGATGCCCTCTGCCCAGAGCGGCCACCCCTCACCCCGCCACCACTTACACTCGCACTCAAAGTGGAAGTCACATGGCTCGCTCTCCTGTGACACTTTGACCGGAGGGTGTCCGTTCACGCAGTGGATGCTGGCCACTGGCCTCCGCCCCAGCAGGACCACGCGGTTGTGGCCCTCACACCGAGCCACCGTGCAGTCTGACAGGGTCCAGGACTCGTTCACCTGGGGGAGAGAGGGCGTGATGCTCACCAGCTGGGACCACGAGACCCGCCCCCACCGCCCTGCCACAGCCTCAGGTCCCGCCTTCCTGGGGCAGAGCTGCCCTGTGTCCTGGCCACCCCCGTTGCCATCCCAGCCTGAATCCCGAGTGCCTTCCTCCAGCCAGAGCTGCCGTGGAGGGCTCAAGGGGGCCACAGCGACCCCGGGCTGGGCTGGGCCCACCATCGGTGCCCCAACCGGGCACATAGTACAGGCAGGAGGTGCACCTTTCGGGGAGGGACGATGAGGTTGCAGCCCTCAGGCTGGGAGGGCGAGGTCATGGGGGCCGAAGAGGACTCTGGGGGCGAAGAGGTGGGGCAGGTGTCCTGGAAGCGGTCAATGTCACAGTGCTGGTTGCAGATGGCATAGAAGGAGCAGCCCGCACCGTCTGTCTTATTGTAGACCACGTCCCCTGTGAGAGGAGAATCACCAAGACAGATATGGCAGGGTCAGCTCCAGAGAGGTCGGGAGGGCACAGTGCGCAAGGTGGACACTGGGCAGGGAATGACGGGCTCCTCCACTCACCAGGTGAGAAGAGCTGCCCCAACGCCCGGCAGAGGCAGCGGGTGGTGAAGTTCAAGCGGGGGGACACGGGGGTCCCCGTGGTGCTGAAGACAGATGTGGACGCCGTAGTCACTGTCACTGGTGGCAAGGTGTGGGTAGCCGTGGCCCTGGAGGTGGCCGTGGAGAGGCCCAAGGTGGTGCCGGGCGGAGAGCTGGTGGCCGCGGGTGTGGGGGGTGATAGGGAGGCTCTGGGGCTGGGCCCTGTGCTGGAGGTGGCCAGGACTGTGCTGGGCACGGCACTGGGGAGTCCAGGCGAGGTCTTGGGGTGCCAGGGTGTGGACGCACTGCTGTGGGGGCTGAGTGTGGAGGCCGTGGAGACCTGGATGATGGGCATGGAGTGGAATGGCGTGGTGGCCCCTGTGGTGGGCGTCGCTGGGGACGGTGTGGTGGCCCCCATGGTGGGCGTGCCAGGGGACAGCGTGGTGGCCCTCGTGGTGGGCGTCGCTGGGGACGGCGTGGTGGCCCCCATGCTGGGCGTGCCAGGGGACGGCGTGGTGGCCCCCGTGGTGGGCGTGCCTGGGGACGGCGTGGTGGCCCCCGTGGTGGGCGTCACTGGGGACGGCGTGGTGGCCCCCGTGGTGGGCGTCGCTGGGGATGGTGTGGTGGCCCCCGTGGTGGGTGTCACTGGGGACGGCGTGGTGGCCCCCGTGGCCGTGGTGCTGGTGCAGTGGCCAGCGTCCTCACAGCAGAGAATGCGCACGTGGTAGTTGTGGCAGTAGGGCAGGGGCCCCGGCTGCTCACGGTTGCGGCACACCAGCCCGAAGCTCACGTTGCACTGGACCACCTGGCCCAAGTCCTCCAGACGCGCGTCCGGTGCCTTTTCCGATCGGCACTGGATGTCCCGGGGGCGCTGGCAGAAGTCGTGCCCCGCTGAGCGGAAAACCGAGAAGGTCTCGAAGTCCCCGCCATCCAGGCCCGGTATGGGGTAGTCCTCGTCGAACCAGTCTGTCCACGTGCACCGTGGGCTGCAGCCCGTGGAGGACGAGGTGGCCAGGGAGTGCGTGGTGGAGCTGGGCGGCGGGACCGTGGAGAGCAGCGTGGTCCCGAGGGTGGCCGTGCTGGGCGTGGACCCTGGGTGGATCCACGTGCTGGAGGTCACCACGGGGACTGTGGTGGGTGCACTGGGTGAGGTGGGCTTGGTGGTGGCCGTCGGGGTCCTCAGGGAGGCAGAGGGACTGGGGCTGGAGACCCTCTCTGTGGTCCTGGCAGGCGTAGCAAGCATCTGGGTGGTGGAGACAGGACCCCCCTGGGTGGTCCCAGGGGAGGAGGGTCCTGTCTGGGAGGTGGGGCTAGTGACCCTCAGGGTGGTCCCAGGGGAGGAGGGTCCTGTCTGGGAGGTGGGGCCAGTGACCCTCAGGGTGGTCCCAGGGGAAGAAGGTCCGGTCTGGGAGGTGAGGCTAGTGACCCCCAGGGTGGTCTTCGGGGAAGAGGGTCCTGTCTGGGAGGTGGGGCTAGTGACCCTCAGGGTGGTCCCGGGGGAGGGGACGGCGTGGTGGCCCCCGTGGTGGGCGTCGCTGGGGACGGCGTGGTGGGGCTAGTGACCCTCAGGGTGGGGGAGGAGGGTCCTGTCTGGGAGGTGGGGCTAGTGACCCTCAGGGTGGTCCCCAGGGAAGAGGGTACTATCTGGGAGGTGAGGCTAGTGACCCCCAGGGTGGTCCCGGGGGAGGAGGGGCCTGTCTGGGAGGTGGGGCTAGTGACCCCCAGGGTGGTCCCGGGGGAGGAAGGTCCGGTCTGGGAGCTGGGGCTAGTGACCCTCAGGGTGGTCCCAGGGGAGGAGGGTCCTGGCTGGGAGGTGGGGCTAGTGACCCTCAGGGTGGTCCCGGGGGAGGAGGGTCCTGTCTGGAAGGTGGGGCTAGTGACCCCCAGGGTGGTCCCGGGGGAGGAGGGGCCTGGCTGGGAGGTGGGGCTAGCGATCCTCAGCGTGGTCCCAGGGGAGGAGGGGCCTGTCAGGGATCTGGGGCTAGTGACCCTCATGGTGGTCCCCAGGGAAGAGGGTCCTGTCTGGGAGGTGAGGCTAGTGACCCCAAGGGTGGTCCCCGGGGAAGAGGGTCCTGTCTGGGAGGTGAGGCTAGTGACCCTCAGGGTAGTCCCAGGGGAGGAGGGTCCTGTCTGGGAGGTGGAGCTCGGGACCCTCTCGATGGTCCCTGTGGGAGAAGGTCCAGTCTGGGAGGTGGGGCTAGTGACCCCCCGGGTGGTCCCGGGGGAGGAGGGTCCTGTCAGGGAGGTGAGGCTAGTGACCCGCAGGGTGGTCCCGGGGGAGGAGGGTCCTGGCTGGGAGGTGGGGTTAGTGACCCCCAGGGTGGTCCCTGGGGAAGAGTGTCCTGTCTGGGAGGTGGGGCTAGTGACCTTCAGGGTGGCCCCAGGCGAGGAGCGTCCTGTCTGGGAGGTGAGGCTAGTGACCCCCAGGGTGGTCCCAGGGGAAGGGGGGTGGGTGGTCGTGGCCCACAGCCCAGTGACCCCCGATGACCTTTGTCGAGTGCTGGTGCTGGTGGGCTCCGTGGCCGGGGAGCTGGTACAGGGGCTCTTGTCCTCACAGCAGAGCACGCGGATGTGGTAGTTGAGGCAGGTGCGGCCCCCCTTCTGCCAGTTGTTCCTACAGATGAGCCCGTAGTTCACGTCACACCGCACGTCCTGGCCCAGCCGCCTCACGGGCACGTTTGGGTAGAGCACAGCCTGGCACTCGATGGCCTCGGGCTCCGCACAGAGCTGGCTGCCAGCATCCTGGATGTGGTAGTAGGTCTCGATGTCACCCCCGTAGCGGCCGGGCAGGGGCTGGTCACTGTCCAGCCAGGTGGTCCAGTGGCAGGTGGGCTGGCACGTGGAGGTGGCCGCAGTCTGGCCGGTGCTGGGGGCCATAGGACTGGATGCCATGGTGCTGGTGGCCAGCATGGGGGTCAGACCTGGGCTGGTGCCCTGCGAGCTGACCACGGTGGTGGCCAGGGTGCTGGGGCAGTGGCTGTAGTCCTCACAGCAGAGCACGCGGATGTGGTAGTTGAGGCACATCTTGAACGGGCCGGCCTGGTCCTGATTGCGGCACACCAGGCCATCCTCCAGGCTGCAGCGCACCACCTGGCCCAGCTCCTGCAGGGGCGTCTCTGGCCGCCCCTCTGCCCGGCACTGCAGCTCCAGCGGCTGCTTGCAGATGGCTTTGCCCATGGCCCGGAGGTTGGCGTAGGTCTCGAAGTCCCCACCAGAGGCCCCCGGCACCGGGTAGCTCTCGTCTAGCCAGTCCGTCCAGGCACAGCGGGGCTCACAGGCCGTGGACGTGGGGGGTGATAGGGAGGCTCTGGGGCTGGGCCCTGTGCTGGAGGCTGCTGGGGCTGTGCTGGGCACGGCACTGGGGAGTCCGGGCGAGGTCTTGGAGTGCCAGGGTGTGGACGCACTGCTGTGGGGGCTGAGTGTGGAGGCCGTGGAGACCGGGATGACGGGCATGGAGTGGAATGGTGTCGTGGCCCTCGTGGTGGGCGTCACTGGGGACGGCGTGGTGGCCCCCGTGGTGGGCGTGGCTGGGGACGGCGTGGTGGCCCCCGTGGTGGGCGTGGCTGGGGACGGCGTGGTGGCCCCCGTGGTGGGCGTGCCTGGGGATGGCGTGGTGGCCCCCGTGGTGGGTGTGCCTGGGGACAGAGCAGTGGCCCCTGTGGTGGGTGTCACTGGGGACGGCGTGGTGGCCCCCGTGGTGGGCGTACCTGGGGACGGCGTGGTGGCACCCGTGGTGGGCATCACTGGGGATGGCGTGGTGGCCCCCGTGGTGGGCGTCGCTGGGGACGGCGTGGTGGCACCCAGGGTGGGCGTCGCTGGGGACGCTGTGGTGGTCCCCGTGGTGGGCGTGCCTGGGGATGGCGTGGTGGCCCCCGTGGTGGGCGTCGCTGGGGACGGCGTGGTGGCCCCCGTGGCCGTGGTGCTGGTGCAGTGGCCAGCATCCTCACAGCAGAGAATGCGCACGTGGTAGTTGTGGCAGTAGGGCAGGGGCCCCGGCTGCTCACGGTTGCGGCACACCAGCCCGAAGCTCACGTTGCACTGGACCACCTGGCCCAAGTCCTCCAGACGCGCGTCCGGTGCCTTTTCCGATCGGCACTGGATGTCCCGGGGGCGCTGGCAGAAGTCGTGCCCCGCTGAGCGGAAAACCGAGAAGGTCTCGAAGTCCCCGCCATCCAGGCCCGGTATGGGGTAGTCCTCGTCGAACCAGTCTGTCCACGTGCACCGAAGGCTGCAGCCCGTGGAGGACGAGGTGGCCAGGGAGTGCGTGGTGGAGCTGGGCGGTGGGACCGTGGAGAGCAGCGTGGTCCCGAGGGTGGCCGTGCTGGGCGTGGACCTTGGGGGGATCCACGTGCTGGAGGTCACCACGGGGACTGTGGTGGGTGCACTGGGTGAGGTGGGCTTGGTGGTGGCCATCGGGGTCCTCAGGGAGGCAGAGGGACTGGGGCTGGAGACCCTCTCTGTGGTCCTGGCAGGCGTAGCAAGCGTCTGGGTGGTGGAGACAGGGCCCCCCTGGGTGGTCCCAGGGGAGGAGGGTCCTGTCTGGGAGGTGGGGCTAGTGACCCTCAGGGTGGTCCCAGGGGAGCGGGGGCCTGTCTGGGAGGTGGGGCTAGTGATCCTCAGCGTGGTCCCAGGGGAGGAGGGGCCTGTCAGGGATCTGGGGCTAGTGACCCTCAGGGTGTACTATCTGGGAGGTGAGGCCAGTGACCCCCAGGGTGGTCCCGGGGGAGGAGGGTCCTGTCTGGGAGGTGGGGCTAGTGACCCTCAGGGTGGTCCCAGGGGAGGAGGGTCCTGTCTGGGAGGTGGGGCTAGTGACCCTCAGGGTGGTCCCAGGGGAGCGGGGGCCTGTCTGGGAGGTGGGGCTAGTGATCCTCAGCGTGGTCCCAGGGGAGGAGGGGCCTGTCAGGGATCTGGGGCTAGTGACCCTCAGGGTGGTCCTAGGGGAGGAGGCATGGGTCTGGCCAGACGCTGTGGTTGGCGACGTGGGGCCCCCAGTGTTGGGGCAGTGTGGGGTTGGGTGGCAGCAGAACACACGGATGTTGTAGTTGAAGCACATGTTGAAAGGCCCCTTCTGGTCCTCGTTCTTGCACACCAGCCCCACGTGCAGGCTGCAGCTCAGCACCTGTCCGATCTGGTCGATGCTGACCTCAGGGTAGTTCTCTGCACGGCACTCGATCTTCTGGGGCTCCTCGCACAGCATGCCCCCAGCAGCCCTGATGTTGTCAAAGGTCTCCAGGTCCCCACCCTCGACCCCTGAGGTTGGGAAGTCCACGTCAAACCAGTCTGTCCACTCGCACTGGGGCTGACAGCCCGTCGTGCCCTGCGTGGTGGTTCCCAGGGCTCCCAGTGATGTCCTTGCTGTGGTCGTGCGCATCTCTGTGGGTGGGGTGGATGGGGGGCTGGTGGCCACAGTGCCTGTTGTGGCTCCCATCACTGCAGAAGTCGTGTGGATAGGTAGGGTCGCCCTGGAGGGGCCCCCTGTGGTTCTCTGCACGGTGGTCTGCGTCCGTGGCCCGGTGGTGGGCTCCGTGCAGTGGTCGTGGCTGCAGCAGAGCACACGGATCCTGTAGTTGTAGCACATCCTGAACAGGCCCACCTGCTCCTCGTTCCTGCATACCAGGCCGAAGCTGGCGTCACAGAGCACACGCTGGCCCAGCTCCGCAGGGCTCCTGCCAGGGAAGTTCTCGGCCTGGCACTCTATGTCCAGAGGCTGCTCACACACGGCCCCTCCCGCGCTCCTAATCTTGTCATACGACTCGATGTCCCCCCCAGCCTCCTCAGACTTGGGGTAGTCCTCGTCGAACCACTCCGTCCACTGACACCGGGGCCGGCAGGAGGTGGTGGTCAAGGCCAGGGAGCTGCTTGGCGCCAGGCTTCCTATCGTGGTGGGCTCTGCAGGTGGGGTCTGCGTGGCGGGGGTGGACAGGGACCTGGCCGGTGGCTGCCAGGTGGTGGCCCCAGGGGAGGTGCCGCAGGGCAGGTAGTCACAGCAGAGGACCCGCAGCTCATAGTTGTGACAGAGCGGGGGGCTTTGCTCTCTGTTGAGGCAGGTCAGCCCCCGGGCCACATCGCACTTCACCTTCTGGCCCAGCTGCTGCAGCGGGGTGTCGGGGAGCTTCTGTGCCCGGCACTCGATGCTCGCCGGGGCCAGGCACACCTGGTAGCCCCTCTGCCTCAGGTCCACAAACGTCTCAAAATCCCCACCTGCCATGCCAGGCTCTGGGGGGCCGCCGTCGAACCAGTCGGACCAGAGGCAGAGCTCATACACACACACGGTGGAGACGGTGGGGACTGAGCCTGGGGGCGGAGGGCGGGGACCTCGTCAGCGTGCTCTGCACCCCTGCCAGCCATGCCCAGGAGCAGCGGTGACCTGGGGCTGTCGATCATGGATCGCGCCGAGGCCGCCCACTCTGACCTCCTCCCGCTCCGCCCAGACTGTTGCCTGGGGTTGGGGCTCAGGAGGAAGGGGCAGGACCAGCAGGGCGTCTGCCAGGCTCACCTGTCGAGGAGAGCGTGGCCGCGGCAGTGGTGGAGGTGATGGGCGGGGTTATGGACGGGGTTCCAGGACATTCCACAGCCCTGCGCAGGATCGTTCCATTGTGTCCGCAGGTGGCTACCAAGCAGGCGCCGAGCCCGTCGGTCATGTTGTAGATGACGTCCTCGTAATGGTAGGTCCTGCCCTCGTAGACGCAGGTGCAGGCTGGGAGACAGGGCCGGCACAGGGCTCACTTGCAGCCCCCAGACCCCAGCCCCCAGCCCCGTGTGGCGCCCCTCGGCCTTACCTGCAAGGCTGTGTGTGCACCGGAGGCCGCCAGCACTGCATTCACTGGGGAGGAGGAGAGGAGAGTGCTGAGGGCCTGCCGGCCGCACCAGCACCCCTCCCAGGTGCCCTGGCCCACTCACCGCCCGCCCACTCACCAGCTCTGGCAGTTCTCTGCCGCGGGGACCTTGGCACCCACATCGTGGTAGTTCCCGTCCTCATCATAGCACCCGCACTGGGCCACGCACTTCATCTGGGCCTCACTGAAGAACGGCTCGCTGGGCGGGCACTTCGGGTAGCAGCCTGGGCGGGCACAGTGCGGAGGAGACTCACCCCCGTGGCCAGGTGCTGGGTGCTGCCCGGGGTGGTCACCCCGCCGCCTGTGCCCTTCCCTGCCCCTCACCTTCCAGGCCCGGCAGGTCGTGCTGACAGCGGCCGCTCGGGTTCCGGCAGGTCCTCATGCAGGGCGCCCCACATGGCAGGTAGTGCCACTCGCACCGGCCCTCGGGGTTGTAGTAGTCACAGAACAGGGCTGAGCGCGGAGGGGAGAGACTGAGGGTGCACCCCTTGCTTCCTGCCCCGCCCTCAGAAGGCCGGTCCCTCACAGGCCCTTCCGTCCAGCGGCGGCCTGCCCGGCCAGTCCGTAACCACACAGACGTGGGCACGCCCGTGGGCACCTGGGCGCCAGGGGTCTCTTGCTCACCATGTGTGGGTCAGGCCCCACCCCTGCATCCGCCCTTCCCCACCGCGGCAGAGCCCCACTCACGGCAGATGTCCGGGGTCCGCCAGGACACGCACACGCCCACGTCGTGGCAGGCCTGGGCATAGGCAGCCACTGCCGTGCAGAAACACTCACAATCACCCCCCGAGTCACAGGCGCACGCGTCACCCACGCAGGCCTCGTAGTACTTGGCGGGGTCGACCTGGCGGGGAGGGGGAAGAGCCTTGGGATTCGGGGTCTGGGGCTCCCGGGGGTCAGGCCTGTGGTATGGCCCAACCTGGGCCGGTTCCCCCCCAGAGCCGGGGACAGCAGACGCGTGGGCCCCCGGGGCTGACCACAGGCTGGTCTAAAAGGTGGACGGTGATGCGGGCCCCCCGACTTCTGCCCGCCCCTTCCTTCCCGGGCGCCCCGGGGAACGGCCGCATACGTGGGCGTGGCAGGTGGCGAAGGTGGCGCTGTTGATGATACTGCACTGCTTCTGGGCCCAGGACTTGCGGTACGGGTTGGCGGTGCAGGGGTCCCTGGGGGCCGGGGCGTCGGGGCAGGATGGGGAGAACTTCCAGCTGTTGCCGAACTCCAGGGCGCTGCTCACCACGGACTGGCTCCGCGTGGTGAAGTCATTGACGGCGTTGTCGTCAAAGTTCCCACACAGCCCGCAGACCCGGCCCTGCGGTCCAGGGACGGCGGCACGGGGGGCTCAGGGCGTGTGCAGGAGGGGCCAGAGCCCAGCCCAGCCCGGCAGGGGGCACTCCAGGGCAGTGCCCTATGAACTTGCAGGACAGGGCACACAGTGGGCCCTATGGTTAGCAGGGGGCAAGTGGACAGGTGAGCAGGGGGCAGGCAGGCAGGTGGAGAGGTGAGCAGGGGGCAGGCAGGCAGGTGGGCAGGAGAGCAGGGGGCAGGCAGGCAGGTGGACGGGTGAGCAGGGGGCAGGCAGGCAAGTGGACAGGTGAGCAGGGGGCAGGCAGACAGGTGGACAGGTGCAGGGGACAGGCAGGCAGGTGGACAGGTGAACAGGAGGCAGGCAGGCAGATGGACAGGTGCAGGGGACAGGCAGGCAGGTGGACAGGTGAGCAGCGGGCAGGCAGGCAGGTGGACAGGTGAGCAGCGGGCAGGCAGGCAGGTGGGCAGACGGGGGGGTGGACAGGTGGGCATGGGGACACCAGGGAGCAAGAACAGTGTTCTAAGCAGGACTCTGCCTATTGGCCAGTTTGGTCTCAACACAGCCCTTTCAGAAGTCGGCGTTGTGAGTGGACTTGCCCTGGCCCTCAGTGGAGTGTCAGCTGCCCGACGGCCCCCTGGGAGCCGGAGCTAGGAGTAGGGGCTCTGACCCTGCCTGAAGGGGTCCACGGCCTGCCCGTTCTCACCTTGTAGTCCTGCTGCAGTCGGATGAACAGGCTTGTCTTCCGGTCCCAGGACAGCACCAGGCCACTGTGAGTCTCCACGGTCAGGTAGATGCCCATGTACCGGACCTTGTAGGGCAGGTTCCCGCCCAGGCCCCACTGCACCACCTTGTAGGTGCCCTCATGCAAGACCAGCTCATAGTTCTGCAGAGGGCACACGGAGGTAGTGGTTGCAGGGACTAGAGGGGCCAGCTTGGGGGCCGGAGCCCACTGACCTATGGTAGTCAGGGGCCCAAGGCACAGGACTGGGGTCAAGGATGAGCTGGCTCCTGACACTGTCAGCGAACAGGAGGCCAGAGGCCAAGCAGGGTGTGCTGGGAGCCCGGGGACGTCACGTGGAAGGTTGGGGCCACAGGCCAGTGGGGCTGATGCCCCCAGCCAACAGTGTGGCTCCCTGCCTGGTGAATTCTGACGTCCCTCTGCTGGAATTGGGTACCCCGCTGTGGTGGGCTGAATGCAGGCCCCCCAAAAGGTGTGTCCACATCCCAGCCCCTGGAACCTGTGAATGCGACCTTGTTTGGAAAAAGAGTCTGCAGGGGTCAGTGAGGGATGAGCTCCTCCCGAATTAGGGTGGGCCTCAGTCCAAACACAGGTGTCCCTGTGACAGGAGAGAAGGGGGCGGGCCTGCGGGGGAGGGGCCGATGGAGCGCCGGGGCGGGGGGAGGCAGGAGGGAGCCCCCCTGGAAGCTGGCGGGGGGCGGCTCGGCCCTGGGACACCTGCTGCTCAGAACCGAGAGAAAATGCCTTTCTCTGGCTTCAGGTCCCCCCGTGGCCATTTGTCCAGGCAGCCCCAGGACATCCAGCCGGAGGGCAGAGGGAGGGACAGGGCTCCTGGTGACCCCTCACCTCCAGGAACAGCTTGATGGCCTTGGAGCAAGTGACGCCCGTGGTCCCGCAGGGGACGTTCTCGGTGACCACGCGGAAGGTGCCGTTGGCGGTGCCGTTGCCCTCACAGTAGTCCTGGGTCAGGGAGGGTCAGGCTGAGCTCAGGGCTGCGGGAGCGGGCAGGCCAAGGAGGGGAGCGCGGAGGGGGCCCCCGCGTACCTGGGCCAGTGTGTACTCACAGCTCCCCTCGAAGCTGTACCGCTCCCCATCGAAGGTGATGAAGTGGCCGTCCCCGTAGGCCACGCAGGTGCCCAGGCAGGGCTTGCGGCTGCACTCCCACCTGCGGTTCCTGCACGTGCTGTGAGGACAGGGGACAGCGGCTTGCCCACTGCCCAGGACCAGCCCCGCCCCGCCACACGGCCGCACTCTCCAGAGGGCTGAGTGAAGGGGTGAGCGCGGGCACTGGCCCGCCGCCTGCCCATCTCTGGCTTCCAGGCTCTTGGTGCCTGCGGTGAGGCGGGGCCGGGGGCCCTGGCGGCAGCTCTGAAGGCCTGGCCCTGGGGGACCTTCCGAGGACAGAGGGGACCGTCCAGGGCTTCTCGGGGGCTGGGGGCAACGCCAGGCCCCAGCTGCCCCCTGCCTCCCTCCCTCCCGTGCAGGAAGCCCCAACTCACCAGATGTTACAGTCAACCCTGATGGTGTCCCCGGGCTTGTAGGTGGCCTCATTGTGCAGACAGGGGCAGTCCTCCTCGGCCACGCAGCCCCCACTCCCGTCCGACACCAGCCCCGGGGGGCAGACGCAGCCAGACACGCAGTGGGTGCTGAACTGTGGGTGGGCACGGTGTCAGTGCTCGTCCCCCCCCGTGCCCAGGGACACTGGGGGGCAGCACGCCCTCCCCGGCCACTCACACAGTCCACGTCCAGCGTGTGGCAGCTCCTGAGACACTCAGCCCCGGGCATGCCCGCCGAGGCATTGTTGCAGTCCAGGTACACCATGGGGGCCGCACACCCTGCAGAGGGAGGTAGCTGGGCTGGGAGGGGCCCCAGCCCAGGCCCACGGAAGCCCCTGCCCCCCAGGGGCGGGTGGGAGGCCCTACCTGAGCTCTTCTGCTCCGCCGCTCCCAGACAACTCAGCTTCCCACCCGCACACGAGCTGTGAGAGACAGACCACCCTGCCTGGGCCCACGGCCCACCCACCACCCCGCAGACCCCACCCAGAGCTCTGCCCAGAGCCCAACACACACGCCTTCCTGGGCACCGGACCCTCGGAACCCTCTCCCCGGCCAGGGGAGGGGTCCCTCTTTACTGCACGGCTGGGGGGTGGGATCCCCCTCCCCAGGGAGCCCCTCTGTGTTTCACAATCCTCCGGGGAGGCCCAGGGATCTTTGGGTGTGACACGGGGGGCGAGACCGTTGCAGGCCCAGGACGGGGGGCGGGGGGTCACGGGCCCCGCTGGCTGCTTACCAGACCACGCCGTTGTCATGCACCACGTCCCCCGGAGCCACCACAGAGCCACGGAAGTAGCAGGGGCAGGCGTCGGCAGACACGCAGGAGTCCGAGTCGTCCAGGAAGGTGCCCGGGGGGCAGATGCATCCGTCCACCGGCACGAAGGAGATGCCGCAGGTGACGTCCACCTGGCTCAGAGCGCGGCAGGAGGGCTGGCAGCCGTGTGCCACATAGCTGTAGTGCTGGGACTTGGGGCAGCTGCTCACATACTTGGCTGGGGGCAGGGGCAGCACTCCAGTCAGTGGCTGGAGGGCCCCTCCAGGCTGGGGCTCACACAGCCCGAGACTCAGTTTCCCCTCTGACACCAGGTCCTTGGCTGGCCCAGACGAGGAAGCGTGAAGCTCTGGCTGAGAACGTGGGAGTGGGGGTCCCCAGCCCCCCTGCCCCTCCCCCAGTGCCGCCAGGCTGGCCGGGGACACTCACTGCACACGCCGTCCCTCCAGCCGCTGAGCAGCACCCCCTTGGCGGCGCAGGCGTGCACGTAGGAGGACAGGGCCGCGCACAGACAGTCCTCGCTCTTCTCACAGTTACACGTGTCAAACATGCAGTTCTGGGGACGGGGCCGCGGGGAGCCGTCAGGGACCCCAGTGCACTGAGGTCCCTCCTCTCCCCGTGCGTCCTTCCTGGGACCCCCGCCCGGGCTGGCCATGCCACCGCAAGCAGGGCCCTCGGCACCCACAGATCGGTGGAGGCCCCCAGGAGGGGCAGCTTGTGCCCTAAGTGACTGCACACAGTGGAGGCCCCCAGAAGGGGCAGCTTGTGCCCTAAGTGACCGCACAGGCCAGGTGGGGGAGGAGACAGTAAGGAAGCATGAGGCCGGGCTAAGGTCAGGGTCAGCAGGGGCCTCCGCAGGACCAGGGCCAGGTCCGACTGCATTCCACAGACATCACCACTTGTGCTGCCTGTGGGGGCACATGGGGTGAAGAGGGTGGAGCTGTGCCACCCCCAACATGGGCAGAGGTGGGCCGGGGCTTCCACCTGTAGACACACACTCCTGGGGGTGCATTCGTGTGCACGGTAGGCCTTTGAGCTTCTGGAAAAGTGGCCTACGAGCCAACTGTTGTGGGTTGGGTTGGTCCCCCCAAAAGATATGCAGAAGCCATAACCTCCAGGGCCTAAGAAAATGACCTTATTGGAAATAGGGTCTTTGCAGATGTGATTAAGATAAGGTCATCGGGATGGGCCCTGAATTTGGACACACACAGGGGAGGGGCACGGAGGCAGAGGCTGGGGTGATATGGCCACAAGCCCAGGGGTACCTGGGGCCTCAAGAGGCTGGGAGATGCAGGGGGGCCTGTAGCCATAGGAGGGGGCCTGGCCCTGCCCGCCCCTTGCTTGTGGACTTCTGTTCTCCAGGACTGGGACCAGAAGCAATTTCTCTAGTTTTTAGCGACCTGGTTTGTGCTCCTCGGTGACACCAACAGCCACACCCACAGTGGCCCAAGGGAGGACTGACTGGCCTGCGCACATGCTGTGGGGTCCTTAAGCCAGGGAAGCAGCGGGGAGCTGGGGGTCTCACCGAGTAGAAGGGCGCGGGGTTGAGGACAGAGTGGCAGCGGAAGAAGGCTCCCGCCGGGTCGGTCAGCAAGGAGCACCAGTGCTGGGCGTAGTTCTCTGGGACAGGGAAGGCAAGCTGGCTGGCTGGCCGCCACCTGCACCACTCCTCCCCCACGCCCGCCCGCCCCGGCGGCTTCGGCTCCCGCACCCAGGCCCCGGGGCCCCCACCACCCTGGGAGAGCTGAGCTGGAATGTGGGGTTGACCCATCGTGCTAGTGGGACAGCAGGGTGCTCGCCCCAGAGACGGGCCCCAGGCCCTGCTGCCGGCATGCACGCATGCATCCCAGATATCAGGGTCCCCCAGCCCCACCCACCCCAGGGCCTGGTGAGATGGGAAGCTTCAGCAACTAGGTCCGGCCCAGGTAAACGGAGGGCTCCCAGGGGTGGGAGTACCGTTCTCCACGCTGAGGGAGCAGGGGTCCTCGAAGCTGTTCTTGACGTTGGGGCACGCGGCCTGGGTCTTCCAGGTATTGGCGAAGGCGGCGGCCGTGCCCTCCACCACGCCGCTGAGGGTCCGGAAGTCATCGGCCTGGTTCTGGTTGAAGTTCCCGCACAGGCCTGGGGGCCAGGGCCCAGGGATGGAGCATTAGTGGGGCGTCCAGCCTGGCCATCCTGCTGGCCCTGCAGTCCCTCTAGAAACCATCACAAGGAGACCAGCCAGAGAGATCCATCCCAGGATTTTGGTTCCAGAGCCATCTGCAGATAAGCCCTGGTAGGGGTCAGCCCCTGTGCAAAGCCTGCCCTAGTAAGGACAGCGTGGCTCACTGTCCACCCGCCACCCCAGGTCACCTCCCGGGGGCCGCAGGTCAGATGTGGGGTGCCCTGGGAGCAGCTCGCTCCCAATTCCCACTTCCTGCCAGACTCTAATGCATCCCACTTGCTGCTGAGTCCAGGGACCAGCGGCCCCTGAGCCCACGCAGCCGGCCTCACCGCACATCTGTCCGTGGTAGGAGGGCTCCAGCCTGAGGAACAGCTGCATGAGTGGTACCAGCTGCACCTGCAGCTGCAGCCCAAGGCCCGTGTGCACCAGGACGAAGAAGGAGGTGGGCCTGAAGATCGTGATGTTGGCTGCAGGGATGGGGACCAAGTCAGAGTCTGGCCCGACGGAACCCCCTTGCTCCTGGGGACAGCCCGGGGGACGGGGAGGGTCCTCTGGGGATGGGCGGGAGGAGACAGGTGTCTGGTGGGCCCTGGGAGTGGGCAGTGCTGGGAGTGACAGGTCCTAGTCCCCAGCAGGCTGGGCACCGAGCGTGCTCCACACCAGGTCCCCACAGATCGGACCATACCCGCCTGCAGACAGCAAACCAACCACGGGATATTCCAGAACTGCCCCAGGCCGTGAGGAACTAGCAAGGGACCTAGCTGGCTGTGTGCAGGCTCTGGGGGGCAGGCCGCCTTGCCGCAGCCTGGCGCAGCCATCCTGAGCCCATACCTGCTGACATAGGCAGCTGCGTGTAGATGGAGTTCAGGAACACTCCGCCGTTGGCCTGGATCTGGATGATCTGGGGAGGGGAAGCAGCCAGGTCGGTGGGGGGAGGAGCCCGCCTGCCGGGGGGTGGGGGCCAGGGAGCGCTCCCCGGGGGCCAGCCCGGCAGAGCCGGGTGCAGAGCTCTGGCCTCGAGCCTCCAGCTCCGTGGGACGCTTAGGACCAGGGCTGGGGGCCGGGCCGGGGCTGTGGCGTTTAAGGAGGACCAGGGTCCACGTCCTCGGGGCCTGTGTGTCTTGCCAGCCTCCCTGTGTCCACCCCTCCCCTGCTGGAGCCTCACCGTGTCCCCGCCATTCATGCTCAGCGCCACTGATTTGAGGCAGTTCTCGTTGTCCGTCAGGCCACACTTGCGCAGCTCGGCCAGCACGCTGAAGCTGTTCCCGGCACACGTCTGACAGGGCGAAGCCACCAGCACATTGGGGGACAGCCGCTCCCCAGCACAGGCAGGGCGGCCTGTTCCCAGCATTGCCCATGTTGGTGCAGATGGATGGTGGCTCACTGTGGCCTGGGGCGCCGGCGGCCACCTCCAGGCAGCTTGTCTCAGGACCTGGGAGCCCCTGGCCCCGTGAGTGTGAGCCCAGGGGCTTCCCTTTGGGGATGGGACCCCAGGAGAAGATCCAGGGGGCCTCACCCCCTCTGATGGCCATCACGGGACCCTGCGCGGGGGCGGAGGGGGCCCGAGAGTGTGCCCAGACAGGCCTGCAAAGCCCACCGGGGCCGTACCTTGGACAGGACATAGCTGCAGTCTCCGTGCACGTCGTAGAGCCTCTCGTCATAGGTGGAGATGTGGGACCCACCCTGGACAGAGCAGGTGCCAGGGCACGGAAGGTTCTGGCACTGCCACAGCCCCGCGGAGCAGGTGCTGGGAAGGGAGGCCGTGAGCAGAGGGGGTGTGATGTGCAGGAGGCAGACCCCATCCCATGCACCCCACCCCCCGGGGCAGGGCAGCCGGGAGGCCTACCAGGCGCTGCAGATGGTGGTGAAGGAGGCCCCCGGGGCGTAGGTGTGGCCGCCGTGGGTGCAGGGGCACTGTTCTAGGGGCAGGCAGCCCCTGTGGGTGACGTCATCCAGCACCGTGCCTGGGGACAGCAGGGGGGTCATAAGTGGGCCGGGGCGGGTGTTGGAACCTCAGTGACCAGGGGCAGCCGGGGGGGGTGGGGGCCAGTCCCCGAGGGCCAGGAGGACCTGCCTGGGGGGCAGAAGCAGCCGTCCACGCAGTGGTCCTCGCAGAGCTGGGAGCGCTGGGGGTTGGAGCAGGTGTCCACGCAGGGCGAGCCGCACTCATGGTGCTGCATGTTGAGGGGGCAGGTCTGGGCTGCAGGGGGGAGGCAGCACTTGGGCCCCAGGAAGCCGCTCAGGCGTGGGGTGCACAGGCAGGCCACCTCTGCTCCCCAGCCTTCCACGTGCCATCAGGGGTCTCCCAAAGCCACAGCCGGGCTCAGGGAGCCCCTCGCCTTGGGAAGCTGGGCCCCAGCTGTCTTCCGGGTGAGGTGGCAGGTGAGGGAGCCTGGGGTGCAACGCCTCCCAGGCAGCCCCCCTGGGCCCGCCTGGCTTCTGGGGTGAGCTCAGCTCGCGGCACCCAGGCCGGGTCCTTCCTCTGAGCCTCCCAGGTCCCCTTTCTGTTCTCCTGGCCACCCTCCCAACTGACGATCCAGGGCCCCCAGCCAGATGCCAGATGTCCTGCCCAGGGGTCTTGTCCCTCCCCCGTCCCCAGGGACCGACCCGGAGTGGGTGTGGGGCCTGGGGCTGGCCCTGATCAGGGGCCACTCACGGCAGAGGTCCGGGGCCCTCCAGTTCTGGGGCTGTCCCCCCGCGTGGGCGCACTGGCGGGAGTACTCTGCGAAGGTGGCACAGGGGCAGGTGGGGCAGCGACACAGGTCCTGGGTGCAGGCGGCCACATACGCGGCGGGGTCCACCAGCTTGTTGCACCCCGCAAAGGCCCGGCCGAATAGGGTGCGGTGGCAGATGCCCTCCTGGGGAGCACAGAAGATTGACACCGTCCACCCTCGGTGCATGTAGGGGGACCCCGGGCCCTGCAGACTTTTCCAGGCCAGGGGACCCCCTTCCTCCCCTTGAGGTTCCTTTCATCCCTCCATCCGTCTGTCCGTCTGTCCATCTACCCACACACTACCCATCACCTATTATCCCTCCATCCTCCCATGCATCTGTCTGCCCAGCCAGCCGGCCAGCCGGCCACCCTCCCTTCCTTCCCCTCAGCCACCGTGGACTTGCCACCACTGGGTGCAGAGTTCTGCTTGGCTCTGGGGACTGAGCCATGACTGTGGACTCCACCGACCCCCCAGGGCTCCACGACGCACCTGCGCATGGTGTGAGCCCCCAGGTAAGTTGCCCCCCACCCCCAGAGGCCAGTCAGAGAAGGGGGAGGCCCTCAGGCAGCCCCAGCAGAGCCAAAGCCAGCCCACCGATGAACCCTTCCTCCTTCCCCGGCACCCCTCCCCCTTCCCCCAACCAGCTGGGGGTGGACTGCAGCTCCACATCCTGATTTAAGGCTCATGGATAGATTCTAAAAGTGGGGTCCTCCCAGCTCCCTTGTAGGGCTCCTTCACCTGGGCTCCCAAGTGCCCCACCACGGGCAGGACTGTATATGGGCAGACACATATTTGCACACACACGTGCATTGCCCACACTCTCAGAACAGGTGTGCGGTCAGGGGAGGTGAGTAGGTGAGAGAGGTGTCTCCAGAGTGGTGGCCATGTCTTCTGCCACCCGAGGGCTAGGAGACCCTCTCTCCCTGGACACCCCAGGACCCAGCCCAGGAAGCCTGAGCCCGCCCTCCTGGCTGCCCCCCTCGGGGAGGGGGAGCTCACCCCGTCTGTGCAGTTGCTGGCCGGGGAAGGCAGGGGGTCCTGGCACTGCTCTGTGGGCCCGTCCAGCTTCTGTAGATTCCCGAACTGCAGAGGGGTCAGCCTGGCGTCTGTGGACAGGAGATGCTGGTGTGGAGCGTGCTGAGGGCCCCTGGGGGCAGTGCAGGCCATGGCTGCCAGGGGGCCCCCTGCCCATGCCCGGGGCACCCGAAACTTCTCCTGGGGCGTCACTGGCTTGAGTGTTGTCCAGTGCCCAGGCTGCCCCCTCCCTGCCTCCTCGGGAGCATCCAGCGCCCCCGGGCAGAACCCACAGGCTTGGCTTCCGGCCGTTCCTTGACCCTGCCCTGACCCCAGGCGGCACTCACTATGGGAGTAGAACTCTTGGACCGCCGGGAGCCCGTTGAAGTCCCCGCACAGACCACACGTCTGGTTGGCGTACTTGGGGTCCAGCTCCAGCTGGGGGTAGAGGGGGGGCAGCTCCAGCCTCAGCCGGCCAAGCCCTCAGCCCTGCCACCCCTGCCGCCCTCGCCCCCGGGGCTGGGAGGCTGTCCTGGATGGGCAGGGAGGGGTGTGGGGGGCGCCCTCACCAGGGCACTGCCCTCTCTGTTCCACATGAAAGTCAGCATCAGCCGGACAGTGACCTTGACGTAGATGCTGCTCTGCTCCACCAGCAGGCCCGCGCGGCTGTAGGGCAGCTCCCCCCTGGGGTGGAAAGTTCCGGTCGCCCTGCGGCCAGGGTGTCCAGCAGGGCCCTCCCCCCGAGCCCCGAGCCGCGAGCCCCAGAGTCCCGGCCCCTCCCCAGCCCGCGCCAGGCGCACCGCTGCCCATTGATGAGGATGGAGCCGTTGGAGGCCTCCAGCACCAGCCCCTGCGTGTTGAGGATGATGTGGGTGATGGTGGGCCTGGAGCCGGGCTGGCCGCGGCGCAGCTGGATGTTGAAGTCCTCGTAGGCGGCGCCGCAGTGCGCCGAGAAGACGTAGTTGCACAGGCCCGGGAAGCGGAAGACGTCGCCGTCGAAGGTCTTGTAGTGGAAGTCGCCCCAGGTGCTACACACGCGCCCGTTGTGCGCGGGGTTCCGGGCTGTGGGGAGAGCGTGCTGGGGCCCCGGCAGATGCCACCAGCCTCGCCCAGCCACCCGCGGGCAGCCGTCCCTGGATTTGGGGTGGGGAGCCAGGAGGGCAGCCACTCGCCCGCCTCGCTGCCCTGAGCCACCCTGATGCTCCCTGAGAGCCCCGATCCTACCCCAGTGCCCAGGGTCAGCCCCCAGGAGAGCTGGCCCCAGGGAAGGCTCCCGGCCGGGACCAAGGCCATTCAGTCGCCCACAGAGTACCAGCTTTACCCCCCAGATCTGTGAGCCCCCACCCCCACCCCGTCAGCAGTGGGCAGCGTCCACTCACAGCTTATGGTGGGCAAGACGGTGATGGGCGGGATGACGGTCACGCTCCAAGCTGCAGAGGAGGGTGGGTCACGCTAGAAATGCGGCCAGGCGGGGGACCCCCCATCCTCCTCACTGGTTGCCCTGGGGCAGCAGAGAGGTGCAGGCCACCCTGACCCAGCCCAGCGAGCCCCAGGACTAGGGCTGCCCCTCCCTGGCCCTCCCCATCTGCCCAACACACATGGCTGCCCTGAGTGTGCGTGTGTGAGTACATGTGAGCATTTCAGCCTTTCTGCTCTGTGCCCTAGCTTTCTGGGACCCATGCCCCCTGCCATCCCTTATGGGCAGGTGGGATCCCGGAGGGTCTCTGTGTGACATGCAGCTGTTGTGGAAATCTGATGTCCAGATCCCCGGCCCCTCCTGCCTGCAGAGCCTGGGCCACATACCGACGTCCGCCCTCTGACTGTGCGTGGCAGCCTCTGTGCTGGCCTGGCTGGGCTCCACGCTGCCCTGGGTCTCTGCGGGGAAAGGGGACAGGAGTCCGTGAGAAGCCGGACATTCGCCATCCTTCCCGGGCAGGCTTCAGGGGGGCGGCCCCATGAACACTCGACTTGGTGGAAAGCAAGGCTCCGCCGGGATGGGAGGCCTCTGCAGGGAGCCGCAGGTACCCGGTGGCCTTGCGCTGACCCCCACCCACCCTATCTACAAATTCAGGGTGGTGCCTCATCTCCGGGACGGGGCAGCTGGTGCTGCTGGCTCCGGGCAGGAGAATGGAATCAGGAAAAGGCACTGGCCCCGTTGACCCTGGCCACCCCAGAAGAGGGTTCAGCCCCATCCCAGGCATCCTTTGGAGAAGGACAAAGACCGGCTTTGTTGGGGGAGAAAGACTCACGCAGTTGGGGAGGCCTCTGGGCGTGACTTAGCAGAAACCCAAGACCAGAGCCAGATTGGAGTTAGAACCGTCCGTCATGGCGGTGGGAGGCCTGGGGGCCCTGGTGCTGGGGTGGTTGCACCCGGGGGCCTGTGCGCCCGCCGCCTCCAGGCAGGGCCTCCTCCGCCAGCCTGACTCCCCCGGTGGCCGGGCCCCCACAAGCCCCTCGCTGCCGTGGTGGGCACAGGGAGCCCTCCCAGGCCCCCCTGCCGAGCTCAGGCTGTGGCACCCCCTTCACATGGCCCTGACCTCCTTCCTGCAGTCTGCCAGGAGTCTCCACGCTCAGCCCAAATCTGAGCTTCCTGGGGAGTGGGAGGTGGGGCCCCCATGTCCCCATGTCTCTGGTTCAACCAGCTTGGTGAGGGGAACGGTGAGGCGCCTGTTCCAGCAGGGACCTCACACACAGAAACCACAGGGACTGGCCCGGCGTTAAACTTTCCCTCCGAGGGCCCTAGGTGACTGCATTTCCCACGGGCACAGCTGCTCCCTTTGTCCGCCCCTGACCCCACAGCTGCAGCCCTTCCCGCGTGAGCCTGGCTAGGGCCAGCCACTGGCCGCACCCCACAGTCAGAAGCCAGAGGGTGTCCCAGTGGCAGTTTGCACCCCACACCGCCTCCCCATCCAGGCCCGGTTTCCACAAGAATCGGCTCAACTTGGGGCCCTCCTCAGGCGGGGTCACTCGCCCAGTGAGACCTGGTCTCCATCACCGGGCCTGAGAAATGCCTGCTCCCAACTGTCCCTTCACATTGCGGCTGATAGCACCACCCCCCCCCGACGTGGGATCCTCCTTTCAGACTGCCTTCACCCACCCCGACGGGATTTGCCCCCCAGAGAGAAGCAGGTGGAGGATGAGGTGGCTCGCTGGCAAGACCCACTCATCAGGCACATGGTCTGAGGCCGGCATGGCCCAGAGGAGCCTGGAAGAGTTGGGCGGAGTGGGGGCTGGCTGCACAAACCAGCAGACGGGCACCTGAATCGCACAGCAGGCTGGGGGGCCCAGCACCCCTGCTGGGAGTCGCTCTGGGGAAGTCCCCCCACTTCTGAGCCCTGCTCAGCCCCCAGGAAAGGCGGCTTGGGGCAGGGGCTCTGGGAGACGACTGATGGAGAGAGCCGTGGGCCAGTGTCCACCTGCCCAGGCCCCTGAGCCTGGGCGAGGCACCTCGGGGAGGCCTCACGGGAGCAGCGCTCAGGGCCGGGACCAGGCAGGGTGGCCTGCAGTGGCCAGGACTCCAGGCCAGCCCTGCTGGGTGTCACCCAGGCAACTCCTGAGGCCGTGTCTTTCGTGTTGACAGTAGGTATTAGGGCCAGTGGTGCCTCCCCTAGATGCTAAGTGCCACAGGGCGGCCGGGGAGGCGCGGAGGGCCGGGTGGTGGCCTCAGATGGAGCTCCCCTGCTGCTGGATCACCTGTCAGCTGTCCCAACCCTAATCTGAGGAGGAATTTTGGAGCCGCTGTGGGGGCTCCAGGGACCAGAGAGACGCCCAGCCTCAGCTCCCACCCCAACACCCTCTCGGCGGTTCTCCCGGGGGACCCAGCTTCTCTGGGTGCAGGCTGAGAGCCTGGGGCCGCACTGGGGCCGCACGGGCAGGGTCCTGCCTGCCGTTCCCAGCAGGAGAACCCCCAGCGAGCGGCCTGCTGGGCCCCCTGCTGCAGAGACAGAGCTGGGGTCTTCGTCCTCACCTGTCTTCTGCACCAAGAGCAGGGCTGTGAGGGCCCAGGCCAGCACCAGGCACCCGCTTGGGGCACCCATCCTGGGGGCTGGCACGGCAGCGGGCGGGTGGCTGGGAGGGAGTGGGCCCCAGTGCTCGCTCCCTGGGGGCCCTGGGGCTTATATAGCAAGAAGCCTTGGCCCCGTGCCCGGCTCCTGGGCCACGCAAGGCTCTGTCCTTTCCCCCGAGGCAGCCACGTGTGTTTGCTCTCGGGGAGGGGCCACGGCAGGAAAGACGCCTGGAGGAGGAAGGATTTGCAGCTGTGGGCCCCAGATTCACAGGACCCCTGCCCCCACTCTCCCCCTCCCCCACCCCTCTGCAGCTTCTGAGAATCAGAGGGAGAGGGGCAGCCCCCTGGTGCCCAGAGGGTGGTGCCGGCAGCCCATCCTGGGTGGCAAAGCCCCTGCATGCAGCCATCTGGGCTGCCCTGGGCCGCCCTGGTCGTGTCTCGCTCACTCAGTAGGGAGGTGGTCAGCACGACCCCACGCTCAGCCCGCATGTCAAGCCCCTCCCAGGAACCTGGCCAAGGCCTCAGCCATTGGGCAGCCTTGGGCGCTGGCCGGGGGCACTCACCCCTGGTCCCTGGGGCTTCTGCCCAGCTAGGGGGTGGTCAGCCATGTATGGCGGGCGGGGTACCTGGGCTGCATGGCTTGTGGGGGTCCTGGGAGGAGGCTCCATGCCCAGAGACCTTAGCCATGCTGACCAGTGCCCCTGCGGATCTCTGGGCTCCTCTCTGTCACCAAGTTCAGATTTGAGGGGAAACTGAGGCCCTGGGAGGGGATACCCAGGCTGGCCCTTGTCCATTGCCTGCCCTGGCCAAGGCCGGACCAGGAGCTCCCAGCATGGCGGGTTTGACCCTCACCTCGCTCCTTAGCTGGCTAGATGACCCGAGGCCGGATAGCCCAGAGGAGCCTGCAGCTCCTCATGGTCTCTGAGCCACCAGGGTCCTCGGCTGACAGCAGGCCATGCAGGAGCCGATGTCTACACGGTGATGTGCTCCTGGGGGCTCCCAGCAGGGCTGACTGGGTCACCTCGGGGGCCTGGGGGTCTCTCAACCCCAGTCCTGCCCTGAGTGCGAGCCACGAAGTCCCAGCTCCCCGGCTGGCATGGCCCGGTTGTGAGGATCACACGATAACCTTTTCCAGGTCAGTGACCAGCTCAGCCTCACCGGCTGCCCCCTTCTGACTCACACTCCGGGCGTCTTATTCTCTGGCTCTGGCAACAACGCTGGGCACCCTCACCCCAGGCTGAGTGTGTCTGAGAGTGGCCCCTGGGGTGGACCCCAGCTGGGAGGCGCGGGACCCCCTCGGGCAGCTTCGTCATTGCTGGCGCGCACACCTGGGATCGCCCTGCCTTTGTCTTTCCGGGGATTAATTCACAGAAGTGGAATTGCTGGGGCAATGGGAAAACCATCTCCAAAGCTTCCACGAAGGGTTTCGCCGCGGTCACACCTCTGCTTGGCTGACGGGCCCTCAGGCCGTGAGTGTCTGCAGGCCCGGGGTCTGCTGGCTCCTGGCGTCTTTAGAGAAGGGTGCCCCCACCCGGGAGCCGGCCCCTGCTCCCTGGCATCAGAGCTCCCACAGACGGGCCTGGAGTACTGCCCACTTGCATCCACGGCCCTGCGAACCTCCAGGCCTCCCTCGCTACTTCCCTGAGGGCTCCGGTTCTCGGTCCGTGCCCCACTGGGCGCCCAGCCACGCCCAGGCACCTGCCCCGCTGGCCCATCCCTCAGCCGCCCGACTCAGCAAGCACCCCGCAGCCTTCAGAGGGCCCCACCAGCCGCCCCCCAACCCCTGTACACGTGAGCCTTGGACTCAGGACCTGAATGGAAGTTATTCGCGGCTTCAAGTTGGCCGTCTATCCCTCCCCGCCCCCACCTCGGAAGGAGAGCTTCACGCGGGTAGGGGCCTTGCCCACAGTCCACAGCTTGCACACAGTAGGCACTCAAGGGACCTGGCGTGGCCTAGTGCCTGCCGTGGCCCCTCCCCGTGAGCACTGTCCTCTGGGCAGAGACGGGTGGAGGGCCTGCGGGGACACACAGCTATTGAGACATCCCGGATGCGGCTCAGGAGCCTGTTTGCTCAGCCAGTTTACCGCTTCACACTTGACGGAGCTGAGGACAGAGATGAAGGGAAGGAAGGAGAGCGGGCTGCCGGGAAGGAGCCGCCTCCTGGAGCTCGGGAGGGCTCCGCCAGGGACGGTGCCAGGAGCCTGTCGCGCCCTGGGTCCACCCCCCCTCCTCACTCAGCCCGCAGACCCAGGGGCTGCACAGAGCCCAGAGGCAGACTGGCCCCGCCCCTCAAGGGCTTGGTGGGTGTGCAGGGGTCTTCAGCAACCCCGGGGCCCTTCTGAGCTCACTCCTCCCCGCATTCCTGCATCCCAGCAGGAGGACGCGCAGACACGAGGACCAGCCTCCCAGGATGCACCAGGACTCAGGCCTTTATTGAGTGTGGCTGGTCTGCCCAGCTTCACCTCGGGCACCGTGGAAGGTGCAGGAGGGTTGGGGTGCGGCCCTGGGGGGCACAGGCATGGCTGGCTCTGGGTCTGCTCAGAACGCGTCCCGGACCATCACGGGGACGGTGCCTTTCACACCTGCTGCCTTCTGCCCCCCAGATGGCCGATCCTGGCAGCCCTGGTCTACGCCCTGGGGCTCACGCTCCCCATGGCCAAGAGGCCCAGTGGTGTGACTCAGGCTAGCCTGACAGTGCAGGCCAGGTGACCCCGGTGGGGAGGGTGGCCCAGGCAGGGAAGCATCCCAGGTGACATGTGGTCAGTGACAGGCCACTTTCTCCTGGCTTTGGGATGGCAGGGCCTCGTTCCTGCCCCTAACCCAGTCAGGGTGTTTCCAGCGTGACTCAGGGGACAAGCCTGGTCCAGAAGAAACAGGTGGAGGATGCACTGGGACATCATGACCCCTGAGGCCCACAGCTTGTCCATCGACAGACATTCCTGAGCACCTCTGCCCCATGCCGGGCATTTGGGATGCAGAGAGGGGTCCTTGACCACCCCGCTGGAGGGGGCAAGTCACCCTGGGGGTTGGTGCATGAGGCTGTGTTGGGGGCTGGGCCCTGGAGCCACCCCCACTGTCAGAAGGGCCATGCCCATTCCTCCCACCCTGCCCCCCGGGCTGTAAGCATGTAGAGAGCCTCCCAGGACACCCCGTGCCCCAGGTGGAGACCACGAGTCCCCCAACCTCTTGTACTTTTTCCTGCTCTTCACACAGATCGGTTTCCTTGCCCTTGTCCTCTGTCCCTGCCTCCCTCCTTCCTTCTAGCAAATTCTGAGCCCCAGGGTGGGGCTGCCCTGGGCCCTGGGAATGCAACTTGGACAAGGAGAATGAAGGTCCTGCCCCATGGAGTTCACAGTACACAGGGCCATCTGGGGCCGCAAGAGGAGCTTTGGAGGGACGGAGAGAGTGATAGCTCTGCGGGGGGCATGGGGGTTTGCAACCTTCACCACCGTCCGTCCGGATCACCTTTAATCTTTCCAAAAAGAGACTCCATCCATTAGAGACTCCTCGAGCCCTGGCGCCCACCCTCCCCTCTCTGTCTCCAGATTTGTTGGCCCCGGGGACCATAGGAGCAGGATCATGCAGTGCCTACCCCTCAGGTCTGGCTTATCTGCTCAGCATCATGTCTGTGAGGTGTGGCAGCAGGTGTCAGAATGCCCTCCCTTTCTCAGGCTCAGGGGTATCTCACTGTGTGACTACACCAGATCTTGTTTCCCGTGTCACCTGTTGATGGACGCGGGGTTGTTTCCAGCCATTGGCTGCCATGAACACAGGAGTGCAAGTATCTGCCCAAGTCCCTGCTTGCAGTTTCTTTGGGGATGGACCCAGGAGTGGACTTGCTGAATCACGTCCTAATTCTGTGCTTAACTTTCTAGGGAATTCCACAATAGGGGCAGCATTTTACATTCCCACCAGAAGGGCACCAAGGACAGGGCTCCAGTGAAGAACGCTCTCCCCTGGGGCGCAGACTGCCAACTTCTTGCAAAACCGACAAGGGGTCAGGGGCCTCTGCGGGGGCTCTTTCCCGATGGCACTGACCCCATCCGTGCGGGCCCCACCCTCATGACCCAGTCACCTCCCAGAGCCCCCATCACCTCTTGGGGTGAGGACTTCAACATATGGATTTGGGGAGATCATATTCAGACCACAGGAAGCTTACAGAGTTTAGAGTTTTCTAAACCTAAGACTAAACTCTAAACACTCTAAACAGTATTTAGAGTTTTCGACACCTAAGACCATGTCATCTGTGACATCCTTTCCAATCCAGGCCGTGGTAGCTTGTATTTCTTTTACTTGCCTGATTGCTTTGGCCTGAATTTCCAGCACTCTGCTGAATAGGAGTGTTGAGAGTGGGCGTCATTGTCTTATTCCCCATCTTAGAGGGGAATAAGAGGAAAAGCTCTCATCTTTCACTGCCGGGGATAACATCAGGAGTGGGCTTGTCATATGTCACTTTTACGATGACAGAGTGTCCTTCTAATCCTGGTTGGTTGGCTGTTTTTATCATGAAAGCGTGTTGAATTCTGGCAGATTCTATTTCTGCCTCCATTGAGACGGCCATGTGCCCCCACCGTCTATTAATGGGGTGACTGTTTGATTCGTGTGTGCGGAGCTGTTCCTGCGCTCTAGGAGTACGACCCACTTGGTCGTGGTGTATAATTTTCTCATGAGCTTCGGAATTGGTTTGCTGATATTTTGTTGAGGACTGCCGCACCCATGTTCATGGCAGATATGGGTCTATGTGCGGCTCCGGTGTCGGGGGATCTCTGGCCTCACAGAGCCAGGCAGGAGCAGGTCCGTCCTCTGCGGTGTTTTGGAGGACTTTGGGAAGTTTCAGTGCTGGTTCTTCTCTAAACATGCGGTAGACCGCACGCGTGAGGCCTTCTTGTCCCGAGATTTTCTTTGTGGGGAGGGCTGTGACTGCCGATCCCCCTCCACGCTAGCGGCACATCTGTCTGGTTCATGGATCTCTTCCAGTTTATCAAACCTGATAAAATTGTCCGCAGGACTCTTTAAGACCACATTTATTTCTGATCAGT